CAGCACCGCCGCCCACGTGACTCGACCCCGGTCGGCGGCCAGGCCGAGCACGGGTAGGCCCGCGGCCCAGAGCACGCGGCGCGAGAGCAGGCAGCTGACCGCCAGGCCGCCGTCCAGCGCGCTCACCGCCAGCGCTGCGTGTGACAGCACCGCCACCTGCCGCGCGGGCGGCGGTCGGGCGTTGACCTGGCGCGGCAGCGGCGGCGGCACCAGCCCCAGCAGCCGCGCCTGCCCAGCGTGCCACAGCGTCAGCGTGGCCCCCGCGGCCGCCACCAGCAGCGAGCCGTCGGGCGAGTAGGCCAGCGCCGAGATGGGCTGCAACGCGTAGGAGCCCACCGCCGCGCAGCGCCACGGACCGGCGACGGCGGCGGCCGCGGCCCTGGACGCCTCGGGACCGGCGGACCTCGGCGCGGACCCATCGCGCACCCAGAGCTTGAACTCGGCGGCGCCGAGGCTGGCGCTGGCCGCCGCGTCGCGCGCCGGGTGGAAGGCGAGGGCGGAGACGTCGCCGCGGTGCGGGTCGTCGGCGCGCGTGCCCAGCACGTACCCCGCGCCGGCGCCGCGGGCGGCCGCCCGGCCCCAGAACTTGAGCGTGGGGACCAGGCGAGGCGCGGAGCCGGCCGCCGCGTCGGGCCGGGCCTCCACGCTGGCCAGCGTCGAGCCGTCGGCGGAGAAGGCCAGGTGCGTCACACGCGGCGGGGGCGGCTCGGGGCCCGTCCCAGCCTCCGCGCCGCCCAGGTTGTGGGGCGACAGCTGCAGCCGGTCGACGTGCGCGTCCCTGGCGGTGGGGAGGGTGTGATGGGGGTGGTGCTAATCATTGTCTTGCTCTCGGGGTCAGAAAGGAAGGCACTTCCTGACAGTGGCGCGCAGGAGCGGGCGCCAGGGGCAGAGGCGGGAGCAGACGTGGGGGTGGGGTGCAGGGAGGGGCTCCGACCCGCTGCCAAAAATCGCCCAGTCCCTCAGATTCCTTCTGCTGCCTGGACCCCCAACACACACGCAGCGACAACGACAACGACAACAAAACCTCTGGCTCACCGAACCAGGTCGTAGAACTGGACCTGGGAGTGGCTGCCCGCCACCACCAGGTGCCCCGTCCCTGGCTGGAGCAGGGCGGGGGCACGGGCGCGTTTTCCTGCCGGCACAGGGCGCAGGCCCATCACCGAGGCCTCCACCTTCATGGTGGCCACGTTGACCACGCGCAGCGTGTTGTCCGCCTGGCGCAGTGCCAGGCGCGCCGCGTCGGCGGGGCAGGCGCAGATGCCGACCAGCGCGCCGCCCAGGCGCGGCAGGTAGGTGCGCCGCGCGGAGGCAAAGTCCCAGACCACCAGCACCGCCTCGCGCCCGCCGGAGAAGAGGTAGGTGCCGTCGGCGCTGAAGGCCAGCGCACCCACCGCCTGCGCGTGCCAGTGCACGGTGGCCGGCTCGGGCGCCGGCGGCGGCGGTGCGGCGCGGCGCGGCGGCGCGGGCGCGGGCACGGGCTCGACGGCCTCCTCCACGGCGCCTGTCGGGGGGGGCGGCGCCCGGCCGGCGTCGGTGACGGCGCCCGTGGCGGCCACCGCCTCCGCGGCGGACTCCGCGGCGGCCCGGATGCCGCGCCAGACCAGGATGCGCCCCGACCGGTCGCCCGCCGCCAGCGTGTCGTCATCGGGGCTCAGCGCCACGCAGGTGAAAGGCTTGGTGTGGAACAGGGACAGCGCGCCGCGGGGGCCGTGCTTGGGGCCCCACACCAGCACCGTGTGCCGCTCGAAGGTGGCCACCAGGCCGCCGCGCGAGCCCATCTGGAGTGAGGAGGGGGGGGGGGGGGTTGTAGGGGGGGGCCGCGGTCATAAGGGGAAGGGGGACAGTGAGAAGAAACTATCAGAGGACGGCGTCCGCAGGTGCGTGAATGCTGTTGCTGTCGCCTGCCTGCCAGGGGCCCCACTCCCAATTCCACGCACCGACAGGGGGCTGCCGCTCGCGATCTTGCGGCGCAGGGGCCCAGGGGTGCCGGTGGTCAGGTCGTAGCGGAAGAGGCGGCCGGAGGCGTCGTTGACCGGGCAGGAAAGCCAGGCGTGGCCCGGCGGGCCCAGTGCAAAGCTCTCCACGGGCTCCGGGACGCGCCAGGTGCGCAGGGCCAGGCCGCTGCGGAGGTCCCAGTGCCGCAGCGTGCCGTCCAGAGAGGAGGTGTACACCTGGTGGGTGGGGGGGAGGTAATGCAGGCTCACACAGGGGGAGTTTTGGGAGGATGCTTCAGACACAGCACCCCCCCGAGCACAGCAGGGACTCCCCATCCCAGGGGCTCTCCCAGGGCCCCGACATCGCTGTTTCCATATGAGCCATTTAGGATATCATTCACTGGTTCCATCACAGGCGCGCTACGCACCATTCAGTTCGCATGCATGGGAACCCCAAACCAGGCCGGGCCCCCACCATCCCCCCCTCCAGACACGAGACAGCACCTCACCCTCTTGGCATTGTCTGGATCGGCTAGAACAGCAGTGACCTCGGCGGTGTGACCTGTGAGGCGGTAGAGTGGCTCCCCGGTGACCGCGCTGTGCGCTCGCACGAAGTTGCCGTGGCAGACGAGCACGGTCTGGCCGTCGAGGGTGAGGAGGTGTGGCCGGGCGGAGAACTGGCCCCCACCTCGCAGCTGCATGCCATCCTGCTGCGTCATAGCGAGGAATGGGCCATTCGTCATCCTGCCGAGTCTATGCCATCCTGCCTTATGTTGGGGGGCCGGCCACTCTCAATATCGCGCCCCCGCTCCCTCCTTTCCACGGCCCCCCGTATCGAGTCGGGAGGCCTCTCGCGCGCGAGATTGGTCGGAGATGGGGGTCCATCGCGAGACAAGTGGGTTGCTGCGCACTTGACCATCACCCACGGCCCTCCCGACGAGCAGGGCACGCGAATGGGACCGCTGTAAAGGCGAGGCGCCTTCATACTCACCACCCTGCACCCTGGACATTCCCTCGGACGCCGATCCTTGACATCCCCGAATTAAAATCTACATGGTGGCGGAAACAGGAGTCCTTGCTCCCGGTCTCGCTGCCCAGGATGGGACAGGGGCCGGTCCCGGACCGAGTGATGGCGGAGCACAGGAAGCCACCCCGCCGTCCATGCATGGCGCTGAAGGCGCTGAAGGCCTCCGTGGCAGGTAAGTGATGACTGCTGTAGGACTCTGTATACGTTCATGTGTCTTCCCTGTCACACGGCAGCCCATCACTGGTCCCCTACGCCTCCCTCTCGTGCTCAGGCGACGCCACGTCTGGGGCCGCATTCCTGGTCAGGAGAACACAAGCACAGGGGACGCCTCCACGAAAAAGCGCAAGAGGCGCAGTAGGTGGGGAGAGAAAGAGGAAACCAACGACGAGAAGGCCATCATGCTCATGCCCAATGAAATTGTGCTCAGCAATGGCATGAAGGTACAGGGGTGATCTGGGTCAAGGGTGGGAGTGTGTTGGGGGTCTTGCTGGAAGGAGGTGGGAGTACACGTTCAAGAAGTACCAGGGAATCAGAGCCTGCCTGCGCCAGCATCGCACATGCTAGCTGTATGCGGGGGACCTTGCGGGGGACCCTTTTCCGTGTCCCCGCCTGCACCTGCGACGATCCCTCACAATCTCCATGTCTCGCCTCGCAGGTGTACCTCCCGCCCTCTGTGACTGGACGCTCCCCCACTGGCGACCCAGAGGTCCTGGTTTTCCACCAGCAGCTCAACGCCCTGAACAAGAAGATCTCAGAGGGCGAAATCGACATCCCTCCAGAGGGAGAGCGGTCACCCTCTCCCCCCCCAACGTATGATGCCATGGGCATCCGGCTCAACACGCGTGAAGTCAGGTATAGACGAGACTGTGTGTGGCAGGGGCAGGAGGATGTGTTGCGTGCTTGGTGATCGCCGGGTCTGGCTGGGAGAAGACTTTGTGCTACACAAGGGGCGATGGTGTTCAGGACGTTGGTGCAGTCCCAGCCCAGTGACAGAGGCAGAAGTGGTTGCGCCAGCAATGCTCCAGCTCACTCCCTCGCTCGACCTCCCGCCCACAGGTACCGCGAGAAGATGCAGCGCAAGCGTAACGAGCTGATCGAGACCCTGATCGCGCGGGATCCCACCTACCGCCCCCCCAGCGACTATCGACCGGAGAAGAAGTGGTGCAAGCTGAGCATCCCACACCGCCAATACCCTGGCTACAATTTCATCGGGCTCATCATTGGGCCCCGTGGCAACACTCAGCAGCGGATGCAGGCAGAGACCAACACCAAGATCGCCATCAGGTGCTTTGGATGCGCTGGGGTTGGGGATAGAAGGGGCCGACTGGGATATTGTGGGAGGCTTGTTTGCACCATAGGAGGGACTGGTGCCACGACTGGGATCACCTGCATTGGAGCAATCTCAGCAACGCGCGATGTCCAAGCTTGTGTCCTCTGTCGATCGCCCTGTTCATCATTCTCCTGTCGACTCAACAAGGCTGCCTGCATGTCATTACAAAATGCAGGGGGCGTGGCTCGATCAAGGATGGCACGGCTCGCGACTCCAAAGGGGCTGCTGGTGAGGACGAGGACCTACACGTTATGATCACCGGAGACCGGCAGGAGGACGTGAGCTGGGTGGAGGCTGCGATGGGGGAGTGGGTCGAGGGGAAGGGCTGGATAATTAGAGGGCAGCTGCAATGTAACGGTAAGGGTGAGGCCTCAAGGGCATGTCCTGGCGGAATAGGGAGGAGTGGTAGAAATGTTTGGCCTGGGAAGGCCAAGATGGCGCTGGCAGACTGCAGCGCTTGCCAGAATGGCACTGGCTGACATCTTTGCCTCATTTATGCAGGTGGATGCTGCACGGAGGCTGGTGGAGAGGCTCCTAAAGCCCCTGGACGAGGAGATGAACGAGCACAAGCGCATCCAGGTGATCACTCAGGCTGCCGCGCCTGCCTATTGTGCCTGGATTGGGTGTGGTTGGGCAGATCGCGTGCACTCTGTGCATGGGATAGAACAGACCGCGTGAGGCAGGCATCGGTAGTGGTCCAAGAGACTCAGGCCATGCTGATGAGATTTGCAGCCTGATGCCCATGTTCTGGAATCCATCCTTCACACACACCTTTCCTGCTCCTCCCCACCCACAAACAGCTTCGGGAGCTGGCGGCGATGAACGGCACCCTCAAGGACACAGAGTACTGTACCAACTGCGCAGAGCCAGGTGGGGGTGCTCCCGGATTTGTGCCTGCAAGGAGCACCGACCTGTGCATGCGTCCCAAAGTCTGAGACTTGCATGACCTGTATGTGGTGCCTGCCATACTTTTTGAGAGGACGTGCTCTTCCATATCAAACAGACAGGTGTGTGCCATTAGCGCCCCGTCATAGCAACGACCCGCTGTCGAAGAGACTTCCCACTTGCACCGCAACACAGGTCACAACGCCGACAACTGCCCCAAGTCTGCCCTGGACGTGTTCCGCCTGCCCGACCAGATTGCCGCCCGTGTGGAGGAGCAGTATGCGCGGGTGAGCGTATGGCTGCTGTCCTCTCTGCAGATTTTTTGTGGCCTGAGAAGCGCCTGCACAGCTACCCAGGCAGGTGCCATGTGCCTCGGGCTCCTCATAACCCCCATGACTCATGTTTTCCTCCACACCCCTCCAGGACGTGGCTCGCATGAACCCTGGCGAGTCTGGCAAGATGGAGCAGGAGTTCAGCTCCTTCCTGGCGGAGCTGGGCGGCACCGACCCGCGCGCCATGCCCTCGGGGGGCGCCGGCTTCGGCGGCGGTCCGTCCTCCAGGGCGGGCCTGGGCTCTCGCTCCCGCCCCGGGGACGATCTGCCAGACTCCTGCAAGCTATACATCGGCAACCTGTCCAAGGTGCGAGGCTAGAACTGGCTGGCAGGGGTAGGGTGGGGGTCCCGGAGCCTGCATTCACTCACGTCGAATCGTGTCAGTGAGAGCACGGTGCATGCGCCTTGCTCCTGCCTCACCCAACTGGGCCCTCACCCTCGCCTCAACGTCTGCTCCCCGATCTCCAGAGCATGACGGAGGACGTGCTGCGAGATCTGTTCAGTGTGCATGGCAACGTGCTCCATGCCGCCGTGCCACGAGACATGGCAACAGGTGCATGGGGTTGGGGGTGGGTTTTGCAAATGTGTGCGTGTCTGTTCCTGGGCGCGAAATGGCGGCCCGGAATGACGTGTGGTGTGGCAGAGCGTTTGCGACGGTGATCTGTACCTGGGCGTGGGCGGCGGGGAAGGGCAGCCCAGTCGAGAGGTTCCCCAACCGCTGCGGTGATCAGTCCCCCTGCAGCTGTTCATGGGGAGGTCGGACCGCCCATCCCACCTCTGATGACCACTGCACCTCACCGACCACAGGCCTGGCACGGGGGTTTGGCTTCATCACCTTCCCCGACGACGCCACCGCCGCGGCGGCGAGGAGGGCCATGGACGGACACCTGGTGGACGATCTGCCCCTGATCGTGAGGATGAAGGGCGAGCCCAGCTCCGGCCCCGCCTTCCCCATGCGCAGAGGTGTGGTCTGGGGGGGGGGTGGCTGTGATGTGAATGCCTGGAGTGCGTGCATCGAGAATGTTTTTGTTCAGGCGTGCTTGTTTGCGTCCCGCTGGTGGGCAGGGGTCCTCACCAGCTCCCTGCCGCGGCCGCCTGCTCCTCGCATCGCGGGATCCCCAACGATATGCCCACCCACTCCCCACCCTCCCCCAACACCACACCACATCTCAGGTGGTGGCCCCTCCCGCCCCGACGACGACCTGCCGCCGGAGAACAAGCTGTATGTCGGCTCGCTGCCCCCCAGCATCGACGACGCCGCTCTCCAGCGGGAATTCGAGCGCTTCGGCCCCATCGCCTCCTGCCGCGTGATCTACGACCGCGACACCAACCGCCCGCGCGGCTACGCCTTTGTGAACTTTGTGGACACGGAGGCGGCGCGGGCCGCGCTGTTCAACATGAATGGCTTCACAGGCTTCGAGGGGGGGAGGCCCATCAACGTCAAGATCTCCGGGCAGTCCGGGGGGCCGGGAGGTGAGGAAGGAGGCAGAGGGGGGACCAGGATGCACGGGATCTCTGTGGGGAATTGTTGCTGAACACGAAGAGCTTGTCAGTTTCACACTGCTCGTGGCAGCGGCCTCCACTTTGGTGCCTGTTCCACCCCATGCTCAGCATCGATCGCCGCCGGCTTCCTCTTTCCCTCTGGGGAGCCCAGCTCGCTGCACTCTGCGCACCCTCCCATCCAGACCCTTCATTCCTGGACCCCCAGGAAGGCTCAGTACCTCACACCCATACCCTGCTCAAACACTGGTGCTCGCAGGTCCAGGACCAGGGCCGAGGCCACCACCCTTCCAGAGGGGACCACCCCCCCCCGCCGGCGGGTTTGGGGGACCGCCGCCGCCGCCGTACGGTGGGGGCCCCCCGCCCCCACCGGGCCCCGGCTACGGTCCGCCGCCCCCGTATGGCGGCGATGGCGGCG